CCCAAGTGGACCATCTTCTACTGCTTTCCCAGGCCATAGTAGAGAGCCAGATTGGAAGTGGAGCAGCCGAGACTCAAACTGGCGCCCATATGGGATGCCGGCACTGCAGGCAGTGGCTTTACTTACTATGCCACAGCGCTGACCCCTGGGCTTATTTCTCAATGTTGAGTCTAGAGCATTTATTAGGAGAACTTAGAAATTGTTGCAGTGGTCCCCATAATGAAAGGCAAGAGAAAGAGTTGTTCTCCCTCGAGATGCCCCTAAGAGGGTTTAAGGAAGTTGGCTCAGGCCCAGGGCTAGTTTCCTTTAATGTTTTGGGCAATAACCTTTATCAGCCTGAGAAAGTGCAAGGCTGGCCTCCGTTTAAGCTTGCAGGTGTAAACACGAAGCTGACTGGGTCACGGAGTGGTCAAGGCACTTGGCACTTGTCACTCAGGAAAGAGAAAGAAGGAAAACTGGGGAACCCCACGCCCGCGGACGCACGCAACGGTGCGAGTGAAACTCCAACGTGCAAGGCTGAGAAAAACGCTCGACACAAAGGAGGAGATACTGCAAGGTTCCATTCGTGTGGAACTCGACAGCAAGCCAGACTCAAGGCAGATCTCAGGCTGCCTGGGGCTGGAAGCGGGGCCTCACTGGCTGCAGTGGGGCTCACCAGGTTCTTTTTTTTTTTTTTTTGATAGGCAGAGTGGACAGTGAGAGAGTGAGAGAGAGAGAGAGAGAGAGAGAGAAAGGTCTTCCTTTTTGCCATTGGTTCACCCTCCAATGGCCGCCGTGGCCGGCGCGCTGCGACCGGCACATCGCGCTGATCCGAAGGCAGGAGCCAGGTGCTTCTCCTGGTCTCCCATGGGGTGCAGGGCCCAAGTACTTGGGCCATCCTCCACTGCACTCCCGGGCCACAGCAGAGAGCTGGCCTGGAAGAGGGGCAACGAGACAGAATCCGGTGCCCCGACCGGGACTAGAACCCGGTGTGCCGGCGCCACTAGGCAGAGGATTAGCCTAGTGAGCCACGGCGCCGGCCTGCTCACCAGGTTCTATCCTGTGTGCCGGTAGTTATGATTATCAACCCTCACCTGTGCTCTGCTTTAGCAATGGTTTCCCCTGTAGATGATGAAATTCAGCTCAGACAGGCTGAATAACTCCTCTGCAGGACCTGTACGTGGCTGGGGTGGGGTCTGAGTCCAGGCGTCCAGGTCGGCCTGATGCTAACACGCAGGTACACTCTGCTCCACTGGAGGTGAGCAACACAGTGTGGAACTGGGAAGACTGGAGTTTGAATTCCTGCTCCACCATCTGGCCATGCGTGACTTTGAATGGGTCACCTGACCTCAGTTCCCCCATCCACATATCGGGGATTCCCAGACCCCACTTCTCACGGTGGTGCGCTGTGTGGTTCCGGGGGGAAGCTGTCCGCACAGGCGCAGTGTGGGTGGCATCCTATGGCAGTGTCTGTGACACTGACAGCAGCTGTGGAGTGACAAGCACCTGATATGGGAAAAGGCTCGCAAGCACTGGTCTCAAATAAGATGGCCCCAGGACTGTGACCGACAAGCCCTCAGTGGCTCCCAAATGCCCCCCGATTCTGCTTGAGGCCCCTCACCACTTTGCGATCCGGCTAAGGCCAAGGGTGGATCACATTTCCCCCTCTCTGCTCCACACTCTGCATCTGCCAGGCCCAGGCCATCCCTGAACTGAGATGTCATCATCCGCCTGTCGGCCCCTCACGAGACCTGGGAACGCAGCTCCCTGGATGAAGCGGCAGGTGAGGAAGACAGCAGTGGTCCTGCAGGGTGCCACTGCTGCTGAAGGAGGTTCTGAGCGCCCTGCCCGGCTGGGGTTGGTGAAGCCCCTCGTGGCCCTATCTATCATCCACGTATCATTTAATGCCCCTGGGTTCCTGGCTCCTGGCATTGGAACTCAAGCATGTCTGCTCACTAAACTCGTTCTCGCCTGCCTCTGTGTCGCTCCCCCTCTTCGTGGAGGAGCAACACAGGACCCTGCGCTGTTCTTTTGTCTGCTCGGCCCTCCCCGGGTTTGCTGCTGGTTCTTCCCGGGTTGGCTACTATCCCTTCCACCTCCGTGGAAGGGCAGATCCCCCTGGCCGCATTCCCCACTTCCGCAGGGGAGCGGCACACCGCCGGCCGGCTCTTTCGGGGGCTGCACGGGTTCCCTTAGATGTTCCCCATAGATGTTCCTGGTGCATGCCGTCTCTCTCCTCCTTTATAGTCCTCCTCCGCCAATCCCAACTCGGCTGCCCACACGCCGAGTACGCTGCTCTCCTCCAATCAGGAGCAAGTCCTACAGTTAATTGGTTGAACTGGAGGCAGCTGTGCGGAAGCTGTTTACTTCTCTCCCAGCGCCATATTGTGGGAGAGCAGATGCATAGAATAAGTCTTAATTCCAGTAACAGTCTAGTCCGAGCTGCTCCCCACACCTCTGCACAGGAACCAAGTCCACGGCACCTCCTGATGGTCTGCAAACATCCGTCTCCTGCAAACCCTCCCTCCTTCCATGTGGCCAAATCTCCATCCCCAGGCTCTTCCTCTCCCATGAAACCTCCCCCCGTCCCTTGAGACTCCACAGAATTGTATTCCGAACCCTGGAGACCTTGCACACTCACTCAGAACTTGAGCCCATTCCACTGTTTCAGGCCACCCTGAATCTATGACAATGACAGGCTCGATCAGGCCAGCAGCCGTGAATATCTACATGGTGCTGTCTGCAAATGACGCACTGGTCTCCACACAGCCCCAACTCACTCACTCCTCACACAAATCTCACAGGCTCGGCACTGCTTATCGTTTCGCAGCTGAGCAAGTGCAGGTGCACGGAGGTTAGGCAGCTTGGCCACGGCTGTGTCACCCTTAGGTAATAAAGGTGGGTTTGGACGCAGCTTCTAGCAGCAGACTCCGGAGTATTTCTGCTGCTCAAAGAATCATTGTTTTAGCTGTAGGTTTAGTGGTGAAATGTCTGTTTTGTTGTTATTTAACTACACTTGAAGACTGATCTGCTGTCTCAGATCGACAACAAGGTTAAAGACTTCAGATAAGAATGGTTCCCTTCCCTCCCATTCATTCTCTCTCTCCTCTCTTTTCCCCACTCTCATTCTTTGTCTTCTATTTCTGTCTTTTCTTTATCATGAAGCATATAGTACACTCCTACACAAGTTTGATAAATACTTGGTGGGTTCAGTGTCATGTCCAGTTAGCCAGTTTATCAAAACAACCAGGACCAGAGCTCTTCCTACCGATATTGGGGAATCATCTGTTGTGTTCCCAGCACCACGCTGGGTCCCTGGGCATGCCTCAGTGCATACAGCAGGCGCATGGCTCTGTCCTGAGAAGCCCCTGTCCTAGCGGCATTCCACCCACATCTTCCATTTTCTCGAGTATTCTACAGAGACTTTGCCCATGGCAACCAGCCATGTGATGTAGGTACGATATCCAGTTTATAGATGAGAAAGCTAAGATCTAGTCGGTTTCAACGATGAGCCCAAGGTCCTGCAACTGTGGCTGTCATAAACAAAGCTCGCACCCAAATCTTCTTGAGTTGTCTAAACCTTTGCAGCTACAACTTGTCCCCATCAAAGTCCCCCACTGGACACTGTAGAGTAGTTACATTATGCCCTAGTTGTCACCCTTCCCTCACAGGGAAATTGCAATTTCATTCTTCATTAGTCAAAATGGTGTGGATATGAAAATTATAACCCACCCCCTACACATACACACACACACACACACACATCCCAAAAATGAGCAATGCCAAGGGAATTAAGGGTCTCTGAAAATATAAGAATCTTAACTCCGGCACCGCGGCTCACTAGGCTAATCCTCCACCTTGTGGCGCCTGCACACCGGGTTCTAGTCCCGGTTGGGGTGCCGGATTCTGTCCCGGTTGCCCCTCTTCCAGGCCAGCTCTCTGCTGTGGCCGGGAGTGCAGTGGAGGATGGCCCAAGTGCTTGGGCCCTGCACCCCATGGCAGACCAGGAGAAGCACCTGGCTCCTGCCATTGGATCAGCGTGGTGCGCTGGCCGCAGTGCAGCGGCCTCGGCGGCCATTGGAGGGTGAACCAACGGCAAAAGGAAGACCTTTCTCTCTGTCTCTCTCTCTCACTGTCCACTCTGCCTGTCAAAAAAAAAAAAAAAAAAAGGAAGGAAGGAAGGAAGGAAGGAAGGAAGGAAGGAAGGAAGGAAGGAAGGAAGAAAGAAAGAAAGAAAGAAAGAAAGAAAGAAAGAAAGAAAGAAAGAAAGAAAGAAAGAAAGAAAGAAAGAAAATATAAGAATCTTCCACAAGGTCATGGAAAATGCATACCATGAAGAAGGGATTTCCAAAATCTTTTACCCTAGAATACATTTATCTTTTTTAAAACTATCATTTGAAAGGCAGAGAGACAAAGGGAAAGCCTGACAGACATACAGAGAGAGCTCCCACCCTCTGGGTCGTTCCCCAGCTGCTCACAACAGCTGGGGCTGGGTGGGACCAAAGCCAGGAGCTGGAAACTGTACTCAAGTCTCCCATGTGGATGGCAGAAACTCAACTGCTTGAACCATCACCACCTGTCACCTCCCAGGGTTTGCATTAGCTGTACATTGGAGTCAGGAGTCACAGCCAAGAATTGAACCTGGGGACTTTGGTATGGCAAGCACTAGGCTAAATGCTCAGCCCATGAAACTATCTTTCATTCCATTTTCCCACAGGCTGGTCTCGAAGCTCCCTGGGAGCTGTTGAACATTATCAGCATTCTGCTCCAGGGTTACTCAACTGGGTGTTCCGTGTGTGTTGTTAATAACAAAAAAAAAGAAGAACTGTCTCAAATTTAATATCTTTCTAGAAACTTGCAAAATCTGAACATCTGGCTTGTCCAAAACAGGAAGCCAGGTTGTTTACCACTTTACTGATGTTTGCGATCAGCCCGGATCTCCCTTCCAGGGGTGATGAGACATCGGCTGCCGCCGGACAGGGCTTGACTAAATTAGCAGGGTACCACCTGCCTTCGGTTTTCTCTCATCCAGGAGGGAGCGCACTGAAATGCAACAGAAGCGGTTGCTGTGAAAGAGATTTGCAGGTACGTTGTCAGGTGTGTGGGGCAAGCGAGAGGGAGTGAGGGCTCTGGGCGGGCGCACGCTCTCCTGGCTCAAGGAGAGGGAGGTGAGAGATGCACTGGGGCCGGAGTCGGAGAGGAAATTTTCTTCTTGCTTTCTGTAATTCTCTTCTCCTCCCTCCACCCCACACTCTGATGTGTTTGCTTGTTGCACTCACCCACCCTTGGCTCTCAATACATCTTCAGTCAATATTACCTTATCACTTTCACAAATTCCTGACGATTGAGCCCAAGACCATGCCAACTATACTTGGCAACTGGTGTTAAGATTTGATCTTGTACCAAACAGTCAGTGAAAATAATTTATGTTTACAGTGTGCATGCGTGTATCTGTGTAAATATGAGGGTGTTTCAAAAAGAGTGAAAAGTATACCCTGGTGTTATTATACACTTTCTGGAAGCAGTATGCAAAGTATATTGAGTCTTGGAAATATGATTTGTAGTAGAGACTGTGCTTTGGGTAATCTAAGGACATAATTTTTCTTTTTTGAAAACGTTTATTTGTCTGTTTTCATCTGCTTGAAAGGCAGAGCAAGAGATGGAGGAGAGAATGAGAGATCTCTTCCATCCTCTGATTCACTCCCCAAATGCCCACAAGAGTCAGGGCTGGGCCACGCCAAAGTCAGGAGCCAGGAACCCCATCCAGGTCTCCCCTGTGGGCGACAGGGGTCCATGCACCTGGGCCATCACCTAGCACCTCCCAGGGTGCATCATCTCGAAGCCGGGTTAGAGGTGCCAGGACACAAACTGACACTCTGCTCTGGAACGTGGCATCCCGAGTGGCAGCTTCACCACTGCACCATAAGATCTGTCCCAGGACATAATTTTTTTAATGCAGACAAAAAATTTTTTTGCTGTGTTATTTATAACAGGACACGCTGTAAATAATTTAAGCATATCAAAATAAAGCAATAATTAAATAACCATGAACGGCCATACAATATGTTGAAGTCATTCCAAATTATTCAAATAATTTGTAATCACATGGAACTAAGTGTGGGGTATAGAGTTTAAAGTGTCAGAATACAAAATGAGGGGTGCACCTGGCAGTTGAGACAGCTCTTGGAAAACCCACATCAGCGAAATCCCGTATCGGAGTGCCTGGATTTGAGTCCTGGCTCCACTTCAAATTCCAAATTCCTGCTAATGCACACCCTTTAAGGCAATAAGTAATGGCTCAAGTACTTGGGTCCATGTCACTCACATGGTACACCCAGATTGCATTCCACGCTCCTGACTTGGGCCTGGCCCAGCTCTGGCTGCTATGGACATTCAAGGAGTGCACCTGTGGATGGGAACTCTCTGTTTGTCTTTCTCAGCCTTTCAAATAATAATAGTATTGCTCATAATGGTAATAAGAGAATACACAATGCTATACAAGTGTGCTATCAATTATAAAACACATAGTTCCTTTAGAAAGAGAAATGACCCTCCTCTGGCACAGTTGGAGGTAGAAGTAGCAGGGCCCAGGGGGTCCCCACTCTGGTCACAGTGACCACCCCCATTGTCTTATTTGGACTGCTCAGGCATGCTTTCCCTCTCTGTACTCATCCTTTCGACTCAATAGCATATCTGCTTCTATTCAAACCTAAAAAAATCTTTATTATTAAAACATTACATATAAGGGGTTGGCATTGTGGAGTAATGGGTTAAGCCACTATTGCAATTCTAGAATCCCATACCTGATTCTGCTTCCAGTCAAGTTTCCTGCTGATGTACCTGGCAAAGCTGTGGATGATGGCCCAAGTAGTTGGGCCCCTAACACCCATGTAAGAGGCCAGACCTGGATTTTGCAGATATTTGGGGAGTGAATTGGTAGAAAAGAGATTTCTGTCTCTCTTTCAAAAATAAATAAATGAAGGGAAAAATTGTAATATATAAGTCTTCAGGCAAAAGGTTTGGTTAAAACAAACACACACATACACACACACACACTTGGTCAATGGATAAAGCAAAGTTACTTAAAATGAACTAGCCACAGGGGCCGGTGCCATGGCTCACTTGCTTAATCTTTGGCCTGCGGTGCCAGCATCCCATATGGGCACCAGGTTCTAGTCCCGGTTGCTCCTCTTCCAGTCCAGCTCTCTGCTGTGACCCAGAAGGGTAGTGGAGGATGGCCCAAATGATTGGGCACCTACACCCACATGGGAGACCAGGAGGAAGCACCTGGCTTCTGGCTTCGGATCAGCACAGCTCCGGCCGTGGCAGCTGTTTGGGGGTGAACCAGCAGAGGGAAGATCTTTCTCTTTGTCTATTTGTCAAATAAAAAAAATAACTGGCCACACTCCAAAAATGGATGTCATCTTCATTCCAGTAACTAGTAAGGACGGTACTTCAGAAAGTTCATGGAAAAATGTAATTAAAAGCTAAGCTTATTTTGGTGCAAAAAAATTGAAATCCATTTGTAAGAAGGGTCTTCAAGAGGTTCATGGAAATGAAGATATGGAAAAACCATGCATGGGTTTCAAAAATTTTTTGCTCCCAAATGACCATCTTTTAATTCCATTTTCTATGTCTTTCATAAATGTATATATAATTATTATTATTATTATTAATGTGAGGCAGAGAGAGAGAGAGCACGCGCGCGCTCCGATCTGCTGATCCACTCCCCAAATGCTCAAAGCAGGCGGGGCAGCTGAGCCTGGAGCTGGCAATCTCAGTCCCGGCCTCCCATGCGGGTGACAAGACCCCACCTATGTGGGCCATCGCTGCTGCCTCTTACGGTGCTCACTAGCAGGAAGCTGGAATCAGGAACCAGAGACAGGCATAGACTTCATGCTCCCCAGTACTCAACACTCACTCCCTACAAACTCCCGAACACTCTCGTATTAGTGACTGGCAACTGCGAACATCCGTGTGCCACCCTAAAATACAAACTTCTGGTTGATCCCAACCCTCTTACAATTTGGTGCCTGAAACAGAACAAACTTATCTCTGATGCAAAATCTAAACAGTGCAAGGCAGAGGAAAACCATTCTGCCTCACCCTTCCATCCACTTCAGAGCATTTATTAAGCATCTGTTACCAGGCATGATATTTTTATAAGATTTACTTATTTATTTGAGAGGCAGAGTTACAAACAGAGGGAGGGAGGGAGGGAGGGAAAGAGAGAGACAGAGAGAGGTCTTATATGCACTGGTTTCACTCTCCAAATGGCTGCAATGGCCAGAGTTGGGCTGAACTGAAGCCAGGAGCTTCCTCCAGGTCTCCCACCTGGGTGCAAGGACCCAAGGACTTGGGTCATCTTCTGCTGCTTTCCCAGGTACATTAGCAGGGAATTGGATTGGAAAGTGAGCAGCCAGGACTTGAACAGAGCCGATGTGGGATGCCAGCTCCACAGGACTTTATCCAATATGCCACAACACCTGCTTCCCAGGTGCAGGTTTTGCACTGTTCGATTTGGTGGCTGCTATGGTTTGAATACAGTTTGATCCCTACAAAACTCGAGCTGGGGTTCAATTTCCATTGTGAGGCATTGAGAGGGTAGAGACTTACTCTGACTATGGTGCTGAGAGGTGATGCCTTTGGGAGGAGCGTGGGATTACATAAGGTCACCAAGGTGGAGTCTCAACGACTGAATATTCGTGACTGTCTAAGGAGACCAGAGGCACACACACATGCACACGCACTGCTCTGCGGCACCTCTGGGTTCTGCCAGATTTGGGCCCCTGGAACTGTGAGCTAAAACAGACCCTTCCTTAATAACTTATCCGGTCTGTAGTATTGTGTTACTAGCAACATAAAACAGACTTAAGACATTAGCCAAGTGGCCACATGTGGCTGCTTAAACTTAAACAAATGACAAGTTCAGTGTCTCAGTCGTGCTAACCATGCAGCAAGTGCACAGTAGCTGTGTGGCTAGTGGCTGCCCTGTTAGATGATACAGATAACAAGATTTCATCCTTACACAAGAGCTCCGTTGCACTGTGCCACCCTAGATAATTACTTTCTCTGACCATCCTTGTGTTCCCTGTGGAAGGAAATGAAGTGGGAGGGGGGAGAGGGGGAGAGAGAGAGAGGGAGGCTGGGCTGGCTGCATGGATGGGAAGCAAGTTGAGTAGTTGAATGAAGAGGGAATTTAGATGGACAAATGAAAGGACGACTGCTGGGGAGGTGAATGGGAGTCAGATGGGCAGATTGCCTTGGTTCTAGATGACCTACTGATATACCTTAAGACTAAATTGGCTCTTGTGGTTGCTGTGTCATGATGTTGGCTTTTAAAGTTGTAATAAGATTGGTCTTCATTCTACCCTAAGTTCTCATCTAACTGTACTTAAAGGTCTCGGATAACTGTGTGACTCAGAGACAGAAAATGGATGCACGAAATTTAGGAGGGACTTTATGTCGCTTTACCCAGTAGTGGTTGACTTCGGTTACACATGGAGAGCTTTAAGAACCGCTGAGGGCCAGGTCCCATCGCCAGAGATTCTGCTTTGATTGTGCTGGGGGTGTGGCCTGGGCACTGGGGCTGTCGTGAGCTCCCCGGTGACTCCCGTGTGCAGCCAGGGCTGAGAAGCGGTGCCCTGGTCAGCGTTGCTCTCCCCTGTACTGGGTCCCTGCTGGGTAGTCACACTGCAAGTCCTCCAGCCACAGCCGGCTCCAGGCCTCCCAAGGTACCTGTCTCGCTTGATAATGTGGTGGTTGAATGCACCTCTTACAACAGCCTCCTGTTGATTCTGTGCGGGTCACACACAATTCTGATTCTTGTGTACAGCCAGTGTCGTGCTCTCTCTCCACCCCTAAGTGTCTTTTCTCCAAAGTGGATATTCTGGCATCTTCAACTCATCTTTGTCAGGTAAGATTTCCTGTTTCTTTAATGATTTATTTATTTACTTATTTATTTGAAAAGCAGAGTTACAGAAAGAGAGGGACAAAGGGAGAGAGAAAAGAAAGAGAAAGAGAAAAAGAAAAACAGAGAGAGAGAGAGAATATCTTCCACCTGCTGGTTCATTCCCCAGATGGCCACAATAGCCAGTCCTGAGCCAGACCAAAGCCAGGAGCCTGGAACTCTCTCCAGGTCTCTCATGTGAGTGCAGGGGCCCAAGGACTTGGGTTGTCATCCAGGATGTTCCCAGGCACAGTTGTGGGGAGCTGGATCAAAAGTGGAGCCCATGTGGAATGCCAGCGTCACAGGCAGAAGCCTAATCTGCTGTGCTGCACCGCCAGCCCCAAGATTTCCTCGCGACTGCTTTCTAATTAACCAAAGTTTGCATGAATGTGCTCTGGACACAGCTGGATCACTTTAAGGTGCTATGGAATGATCACTTCTCATAATCTGCGTACAACACTTCTGCTAATCTAGGTTAAACTAAGAATAAATTGTAGCAGATTAAATTAGAGTTCCTGCAGAAATTTTAAGATTAACCTCATCCCCTGCTCACTTTATGGCAACCTAGTATACCAGGAATTTAAAACCTCCTTTACTGATTTATTTGAGAGGCAGAGAGACAGAAGGAGGCAGATCTGCCATCTGTCCGCTCACTTCCCAAATGCCTGCAGCAGCCAGGACTGTGCTGGGCTGCAGCTGGGAGCCAGGAGCTCAGTGCAGGTCTCCACGCCGAGGGCAGGAGCTCCGCTGTTTGAGCCATCACTGCTGCTTCCCAGGGTCTGCGTGAGCAGGAAGCTGGAGTCAGGCGGTGGGTCGCAGGCATCTTACCCATTCAGCAAAATGCCTGCCCCCATAGTGTTTCTTTTTAGGAACATTGATGCTGCTGTGGGTAGCCTAAATGTTAATAGACAACTTCTTAAATGCCACATAGCAGAATGTCAAAAGGAGGCGCTTAAACAGGAATCAACAGAGAAAATTTCCAATATATTCTGTAAAAGTGTAAAATGTCACAGAAAAATAGGTATTTCATACTCTGAGTTATGCACAAAGAAAACACATTTATGTATAAACCTGCACACATAAATACCCAGCAGGATGAGCAGACTCCTCTGTGGGGACGGGAGAGAGTAAAGGACACTTGATATTTGTCACAAAATCAGGTGAGTATAGAGTTTACTGTGCTTACAAAGGAACAGTTCTTGAACTGGGAGACTTCCAACTGGAAGGGGTAGGAAGCTGCTCGCCGGGGCCAGCGTTGTGGCGTAGTGGGTTAAGCCATCCCATGTGGGTGCCAGTTTGAGTCCTCGCTGCTCCACTTCCAGTCCAGCTCCCTGCTAATGCGCCTGGGAAAGCAGCAGAGGATGGCCCAAGTCCTTGGGCCCCTGCACCATGTGGGAGATCGGGAAGAAGCTCCTGGCTCCTGGCTTCAGCCTGGCCCACCCCTGGCCATTGTGGCTACTAGGGGAGCGGACGAGAGGATGGAAGACCTCTGAGTCACCTTCTCTCTGTAACTCCGCCTGTCAAAAAATAAAATAACTCTTAAAGAGGAAGAAAGAAGAGGAAACTGCTTACAACAGGTCTGGCACAGAATAAGAAACATGAGGAAGGAAATACAGGGGCCTTTTCCGTGATTGGCTATCACTGAGCAGGGTTGGCGGAACTATGGAAGCTGCTTTGGCTATAGCTGGTTGGTTTAATTTGCTGAACTGTGCTGGCGAGGACAGAAAGATTATGTTTTGTTTCACTTATGCTCAGAGCCAGCAAGCGCGTCAGGGAAAGCAAGATGATTTCAGTTTCGGCTCTGGGCTCTTGGCAGCTGGCTTTGGGCTGACCGAGGCTCTGTCGAAGGTGGGGCTTCTGTCTGATGTTTCTTCAACAGTTCTCCAATCGTGCACTTGAACTGAGAGTGTGACCAGGCGTTTAGTACTCCTCTAAGGTACTACTGTTTGTCTTCTTCCTGGAGACTCACAGGATGCAAACTACAATCTCACTGGGATATTTCCATAGGTCTTGGTCTTGTTCGTGTCATTTTGTTGTTCAGTCCTCTGTCAGCTATGTGGCTGCTGAAAAGAATCTAGGACCCTTGGCCGGCGCCGCAGCTCACTAGGCTAATCCTCCACCTTGTGGCGCCGGCACACCGGGTTCTAGTCCCGGTCGGGGTGCCGGATTCTGTCCCGGTTGCCCCTCTTCCAGGCCAGCTCTCTGCTGTGGCCCGGGAGTGCAGTGGAGGATGGCCCAAGTCCTTGGACCCTGCACCCCATGGGAGACCAGGATAAATACCTGGCTCCTGCCTTCAGATCAGCGCCGGCCGCAGAGGCCATTGGAGGGTGAACCAACGGCAAAGAAAGACCTTTCTCTCTGTCTCTCTCTCTCACTGTCCACTCTGCCTGTCAAAAAAAAAAAAAAAAAAAAAAAAAGAATCTAGGACCCTTAAGAGAATACAATACATGAGGGATATCACCAATACAACTAATAGGATAGTTCCAAGAGTTTGAAAAATATTCCCAAGACGGATGTCTCACAGATCCCAGACTTTACGAACAAGCTAGATCAATTGATTGAACTTTCCCAATCTGATGAACTACTGGGACCTGATCTTTAGGTCTCCAAGATTTGGGGCTACAGTTCCTGAGTTAATGACATAGAAACAGCATTGTTTTCAACATGGCTATTTCAGTTGGTTGTCCTGGTTAGCAGCCTGAGTGTCTCTGGTGATACCATTGGGTGTCACGGTGAACTCTGCCTGGTCCACACAGAAACAGACACAAAGGATGTCCATATACAAGCTGTTGGGATTTCTCTGCAGTTTATATCAAGTCATTCAACTTCTGCTTGCATGGCTGTAAAGTTAAGGACAACCCAAGTTCAAAGCTAGAAATTTGTAATTGTCATGGCCTTTTCCATGAATTCCTTGTAATTTTTGCATCATAGCTATTTGCAAAAGCTTTCAGAAAGCATCAGAGTAAAACAATAACTGTCTGTGGATGACAAAAGATTTAAGGACCTGAGAATATATGATAATGCAATTGAGGAGGAAATTTGGTTATTTCTGTGATACAGACTTTAATTTCCTTTTAAAAATTTATTTATTTATTTGAAAGAGTTACACAGAGAGAAGGAGAGGCAGAGAGAGAGAGAGGTCTTCCATCCCCTGGTTCACTCCCCAGTTGGCCGCAATGGCTGGAGGTGCTCTGATCCAAAGCCAGGAGCCAGGAGCTTCCTCCGGGTCTCCCACGTGGGTGCAGGGGCCCAAGGACTTGGGCCATCTTCTGCTGCTTTCCCAGGCCATAGCAGAGAGCTGGATCAGAAGCAGAGTAGCTGGGACTTGAACCAGCGCCCATATGGGATGCCGGCACTGCAGGTGGCAGCTTTGCCTGCTACACCACAGCACTGGCCTCAATGCAGACTTTTAAATAATAACTGGAATTATGACCAACAACATCATACCAGGACACATCAGATTTTTAGGAATTTCATACAATTACTTGATCTATGCTGAAAAACGAATATTTCTACCAACCAGAGGCACTGTGTGGGTTGGTGACCCGAGCACAAAATTGGAGACACAAATAGTGACACTGTCTCTACTTGAGGCATCGTTGGGAGTTTAACGAGCCTCACTGAGTTCATGCTAACTAGGAAGGGCTCTGGATGCACTGAGGGAGGTTCTGAGTGTGCAAAGAACTGTGTTCCACTTCCTTAAAGAGGGGAAGCTTTGACTTATTGTAAACCCCTGGAGGTGCCCTTCTGCCGTTCCCTCGGGACGTCTAAGCATAGTGTTCAGCATGCAGGCTGAACGGCTGGGCTACAGCAAGAGAGGAGCAGAGGTTATCCCTCAACTTCAGAAGTAGCCAGACGCTCTGAGAACCTCAGAGTAGCAAAGAGAGGCGAACAAGTGGGCATGAGAGTTACACACCGGGTCATTTGGAGGCCTCAGGGGCCAGACGTCCCCACAGCCCCCATGTCCACAGCGTGGTGTGTGCTGTGGTCACAAAGGCCTCCTCAGTCCTCAGTTGGAGGTTGGCTGAGCCCCAGACCCTGAAAAGAAGGCTCCCATCCCCCACCCCAAGCCTGCGTCGTTGGATAAAGGATCTTCCAAAAGTCCGGGGGAAATGAGCATCATAAAAAACTGCGCGTGGATTTCAAAATGTTTTGCACCGAAATAAACATCTTCCGATTCCATTTTCCTACAAAGTCTTTGAATTTCTTTGCATGCCAATGCCACCCAAGACTGGAGAAGGGACCTAACCACTAACATTTCTAAACTTTAAAAACAAAATTCAACTGCTTTACCCAGGGTAGCCCCAAGTTTTTCCTAGGGTGCTGTTGGCTATACTTTTCAGAATAAAAATACTGATCAAATCGCACAAATCAGTTGTTCCTGAATTCCCATTTCCTCCTCAAAAGCCGAGAACTTGGCAGTGATCAGTGGGAAGTATACCTGGACAGACCCAGAACAGCAGACCAGGTGTCATCCGAGGGGCCCATGTTTGACCAATTTTGCTTAAAATAGCCTCTCATTGCCTTTACTTCACTCCTGCCCCCTATGAGCCTTAGAGAGGTTTCAAGTCGGAAATGTGGATTGCATTAGTTTATATTACTACAGCAGAATACCAGAGACAAGCCACATATGAAGGAAGGAGTTCCACTTTGGCTCACGGGTTTGGATGTTCAAGTCCAAGATCAGGCAGCCCCACTGGTTCAGCATCTGGTGATGGCAACAGGGAACAGGTGCAGAGAAAAGATTGCATGGTGAACCAGGAAGAAAACTGCCTGCTGAGGGCACGCCCCCAGTGACCTAAGCACCTCCCACTTGGCCCCACCTCTACATAGTTGGATTAAATTTCCACCCTCTCCATACCTTTAAGCTTTGACTTTGGAGGTCAAATGTCTACATGAATCTGGGAACAATTTTCTATTCAAACGATAGCATGAGCTACAATACACTGTCTTATTTGATCTTCACAACAACCCAGGGTGATATCAAGATCTGCAGTTTGGAGAGTAGTAAGTGGGGCTCAGAGCTGAGGACTTGTCTGAGTCACACAGCTGGTGAGAAGGGCTAGGACTGCGGCCCCTTCCCCATCTCCGCTCTCACTCTGACTACACAGAAACTCTCCTTTGGGGTCTCTGTATTTTATGAAGTATTCTACTAAGAAGCAATGACAATTCCTTGCCGTGACCTCTCAACTATTGCATTGCTAAAGCCAATCTTAAGAAACACTGATTGACTTGCATATTCATGCCTTCACACCTGTCTTACCTTCTTCAAAGGAGAAAGTCAGGGGAACCCCCTCCGCGGAAGCAGTGCATGGATTAACTGTCCTTCACGACTCCTACCTGGTCTGATTTTTCTTGTTCTCCACTGAAGTGTATAATCTTAGACACCATCCCTAAGACTCATGGTCTAGAAAAACACCAAGTCTCATAAGAAATCCCACTGACCCACCTCTCCTGTTGAACTCCTCTGTGAAAGAGGAACTCTTAAGGATTTGCTGATAGTGCATGGTTGGCTTAATCCATTACCAGGAGAAAGAAAAAGTAACTTAGGCTACTGCTGCTTATATATACAAGGATTGATAGTTAATAATCATTATAATAGCTAAATCTTCAGAAGTTTCATTGAAAAAAAATCACTACATTTGAATCCAGTGATAAGATAGTTGGACATAGGGAGACTTCAGGATTAGCACAGATTTCCATATTTACTTAGAATTTTGGGTCACTTGCTAAATTTCTTCAAGGTTCACTTTTATTCACCATTATGGGGTCTTGGAGAGGCATAGTTATTTGTAGTCCCAGTAATAACCATTGTTATTGTACTTAGCTTGTTTTTAAATATGTAAGATAATGATTTTGAAAATCATATATAAACTTCAAACCATAAGATGCAAGATGCCACAACAGACAGAGTAATAATACCTATTACTATGTTATTATTTTCATTCTCTTGCCTGGTTTTTCTTGTTTTGTATCTGTTCCTTCAAATGCTTGCAGAAGTCAGCGTCCCCATCTTGGCTTCCTCCCCACAATTCTGTGTCTCCTCCACCTGGCTCTGGACACTTCTGCTCCTTCCTCACATGCACTTTGTACTCTACACCTTTTGTGGTCTATGCCAAAGGACCTCCCAAATGCACAGACTGCTTACCACATCCTCGTTGGGTAAGTGACCAAGTAGCTGGTGTGAGCACAAAGGGTGATTATGCTGAGCTCAGGTTTGTTTTGCTTTTTTTTTTTTTTCCTGCTATCACAGGACAAGTGAGATGGATACACCAATGGATGGGCTCAAGACTGTGGTCCAAGGCGTGGGGACCACAACCTACGACTATAACTGGGCACTGCCATGTGAAAAAGTCAGGATCAAAGATCTGGGGGCCAAGTTCCTGCCTCCACTCTATTCCCTGGTGTTCATCGTTGGCCTCTTGGGCAACATCATGGTGGTGGTGATCCTCACGAAATACAAGAGGCTCAGAATCATGACCAACATCTACCTGTTCAACTTGGCGATTTCGGACTTGCTCTTTCTCTTCACCCTCCCATTCTGGATTCACTACGTTAGGTGGAACGAGTGGGTGTTTGACAGTCACATGTGCAAGCTCCTCTCAGGACTGTATGCCCTGGGCATGTACAGCGAGATCTTCTTCATCATCCTGCTGACGATGGACAGGTACCTGGCCATCGTCCACGCCGTGTTTGCCCTTCGAGCCCGGACAGTCACCTTTGGCGTCATCACCAGCATTGTCACCTGGGCCCTTGCAGGGCTGGCGGCCCTCCCCGAGTTTATCTTCCATGAGTTCCAAAGGGAGCCCGAGGAGGCTGTGTGCAGCCCCGTGTACCCAGAGGATGAGGAAGACAGCTGGAAGCGTTTCCACGCCCTGAGGATGAATATCCTGGGCCTCGCTCTGCCTCTGCTCATCATGACCATCTGCTACACCGGAATCATCAAAACGCTGCTCAGGTGCCCCAACAAAACAAAGTACAAAGCCATCCGGCTCATTTTTGTCATCATGGTGGTCTTTTTCATTTTCTGGGCACCTTACAACCTGGTTCTTTTTCTTTCTGCTTTTCAAGCGATCTTCCTGGAGAGCAGCTGTGAGAGCAGCAAGCAGTTGGACCTGGCCAGGCAGGTGACAGAGGTGATCACCCACACCCACTGCTGCGTCAACCCCATCATCTATGCCTTCGTAGGCGAGAAATTCCAGAAGTACCTGCACCACTTTTTCCACCGGCATGTGGCCATCTACCTGGGCAAATACATCCCGTTCCTTCCTAGCGAGAAACTGGAAAGAGCCAGTTCCATCTCCCCATCCTCGGGGGACCCAGAGCTCTCCGTGGTGTTTTAGATCAGATGCAGTAAATTGCCTAAAGAAGATGAGCCGGCCGGGTAAGCAAACACGTGACCTCCGCCACGCTGAGCCCTACACCAATCCTTGGAAGCTTGGATGTGACTGAGGCTCTTGAAGTTGTAACAATGTTCACACAGACACCATGGCGGCAGTACACACGCTCACCCCAAAGTCATTACCAATAGCAAGCTTTGCTTGATTCTTGAAGAGTTACACACATTTTAATGCACCTGCATGTTAGTTATTGTATGCAGCTATAAACAGCTAGAACTTTTTATATTTTACGTCTCGACTGCAGCCAGCATCCTTTTTGGGGGAGGATGTGAGTAAATATTCTCAAGCAACACAGCGGCATGCCACACCCATTTTAAATAGTCTTAATTGTCAATGGATTTGCTGTTTGGGTCAAATTGTGGGGAGCAACTGAGACTAGACTAAATTACTGGAACTGCTAGGACTAATTTTATGCATCTGATCTCCCACAATATGGCACTGAGCGACAGCAAACAACTTCTACACAGCTGCCTCACCAGTTTGACTGATAAGCTGCAGGAGCTGATCCTGCTCCTGATTGGAGGAGAGCAGCGTGCTCGGCGTGTGGGTAGCAGAGCATGGATTGGTGGAGGAGGACTATAAAGGAGGAAAGAGACCGCATGCACCGGGGAATATCTGAGGAACATCTGAGCAGCCCCTGAGAGAGCTGGCCGGCGGTGTGCCACTCCTCCGCGGAAGCAGGGAAAGCGGTGGGGGTGCCGCCCCTCCGGGGGTGGGGGGGGCTGGCAGCTAACCTGGGACGGCGTCGTTCCTCCGCGAGTGAGGGAACGGCAGCAAACCCGGGAAGGGCCGGGCAAAGAGAACAGTGCAGGGTCCAGTGTCGTTCCTCCGCAAATGGGGGAGCGACATCAAATGACTGAGTTTCCCATGAGTGACTCAAAGCCCTCTGACAGGTGCCCACCACCACTCTAGTGCCCCGTGGCAGAGGAGCCCAGCGTCTCTGGTACACAAGTTCCCCGGGTCTGGGAAGGGGAAGTGTTGAGCCCACGAGAACTCCACAGCTCTGGCCCAGTGGCCCTCAAAACGTGCCATCAGAAGCATCCGGAGGGCACAGGAGACACAGATGGCCGGGCCCCATCCCAGAGTCTCTGACTCAGCGGATCTGAAATGAGACCCAGGAATTTGCAAAACTAGTCGGGTCCCAGGTGACGCCAAGGCCACTTGTCATCCTAGGACCACAGGTGGAAAAATTGCTCCGGCTGAAAGGTTTCTGGCGAGCACAGAGTTCCCCTTAAAATGAAGGATTTCACAAGGTCAGAGAGAAAAACGCCAAAGGCCCCCTCGGTCTAGACTGTGCTAAGGACACTCACGATCCTAGGCAGCTTATAAATGATGCCAGTCCACACAAAACCAACGGGAACTTCCTGTCCATCATTTAGTTCAGTGGTGCTTTCCTTTTTTCTTTTTAAAGATCTATTTTTTTTATTTGAAAGGCAGAGTTACAGAGATAGACCTTCAGTCCTCTGGTTCACTCCCCAAATGTCCACAACGGCCAGAGCTGGGCTGATCTGAGGCCAGGAGTCAGGAGCTTCATCTGGGTCTCCCACATGGGTGCAGGGGCCCAAGGACTTGGGCCATCTTCCACTGCTTTCCCAGGTACATTAGTAGGGTGCTGGATCAGAAAAGGAGCAGTTGGGACTCGAACCGGCATCCATAGGAGATGCAGCACTGCAGGCGGCATCTTAACCTGTTATGCCACAGCGCCAGCCCCTCAGCGGAGCTTTTCTTGATAGCATGTGTCTAATGCCTGCACCAGAAGCTATGGGAGACAGAAAGGGTGTGAGCTTCACCCTTAGCAGAAAAAGACACAGCCTCTGATCTAAACGCATCCCCGCTTCTCCTGCTCCTTGTGGCTAGCCTCCTCCAAGCTTCTACTGAACTCCTGCCACTCAGTATATCACGCGTGAAAGTGTGGTGTGAGCCCAGCCAGCCATTCAGCCAACAGCAGACAGGACGCACAGACACTGCTTCAGTTTAAGTGAAGGATGCAAAACTCCTAAGACACACACAATGCTCACCCCCATGGAGCCATTGGCTAGACGAGATGCATAGATAGTTTTGGTGCAAAGAGGTAAACGTCCAATGTCATGCCTGTGTCAGGAAGGCAAACCAAGGAAGGAACCCAAGGGAGGAAGACTTCATGGAGGAAGTGGCTTTTGAGCAGGTATGTGAAGGAGGGCCAGCATTTACAAAAGAGAGAATTTGGGGAAAGTCACCTGAAGCCTTGGGAATGCTCAGTCCAAAGGTTCGAGGCACACACACTTGTGGAGTGTGGGCGGGGCCGACAGGTAGGGATGGGGCACCCAGTTCAGGCGAAGGCTCTTTGGCTCTGTTGGGAAGGCAAGGGGAGCTGTTGAAGACTTTGAAGCAAGGGAGTGACACAAACGTCACGGCGTGTTAGGAAGACAGATCCGGGGACACACTCAGCATGGAGTGGAGGCCGCGGAACCAGGCAGAGAAATAAGATAGGGGGTGGGAGCCAGCACAGAGGCCAGAAAAGATCAGTGGAAAGATCAAAGAACCCGAAGGGAATTAGATCAGGAGACAGCAAGAAGGAAGCATCAAAGTGTTGGGCTGATAAATGGTTGATCATACACATCCAATGGCAATATGGAGCACATCATATGTTAGAAACCGACACACACACACTCATGCACACTTTTCTTTGTACTTAGATATCCAGACCATCTCCTAAAGGACACAGGAGAAATCAGCAGGAAGGGTTGTAGGAAGAGATGTGGGTGGAAGAACTGGAGAAGGCGAATGACCTGTTGTGCCCTTGGGATTTTGTTATCCATTGGAAAATTAAAGAAAACGTCAGAAAGAGATCTCTAAGTCTGAAAGGCAAGGTTCCTTCTGACATTCGGCATAGGCATGCATCCCACCAGCCATCAGGACATGGAGGCGTCTTGCCATGAATGAACTCTGCAAGCTGCCACAAAGCATTTGGCCCTTTCTTCACCCATATAATGAAGAGGTTGGATTCAAGCATCTCTAAGCCACTTGGTAGCCCCCAGTGGATTCTGATATTGCTAAAACATTAGGATCTGGAGGCTCAGGATCTCCAAAAGGGATTGTAAAAGGCAAGCAGAAGAGGAGTGGGGGACAATCTCATGGCACGACCTCCCCTTGGCTGGGGGATCTGGGGCATTTCCCATCATCCCTTGTACATTCATCTGGTGGTTTTTGCTCATTGGTTCATTTGCTGAGCCCCTGCAATGTTCTTAGCTAAGTTCTCAGCTAAGGAAGCAACAGTGGACACACCATGGACCCTGCCCTCGGGAGCTCACCATCACCCTGTCTCCTCTCTGCCAGAGCTCAAAATCAGGTCTTAGAATGGAATTGCCAATGCTTCGATCCAACCCAAATGAGAGGAATTTCCACGTTAAGACTAGAAAGTGTTCTTCACTTCCAATCAAACACTCAGAGAAGGGTGTGCATGCCCTTGGCCATCCACCCCATCATCCTCAGCCTCTGACCCGTAGCCTTGACTTTCAGACCATCATGTCTACCTGAAAACTCTACACGGGCAACACAAGATGTGAACTCGAAGCACTCTAAGTCATGCAATAGCAACTTCAATTTGGCTAGCAAACTTTGAAATACTTTTTCTCTGTTTTTGTGGTTCAGCTAAAATGTAAATAAAGCAATCATTTAAAAGCTATACATCATAGTTCTCTCTTGCTTTATGGAGTAACACCTGCTCTTAGGTAACCACAAGTGTGGGGTTCAGGTCCATGGACAGACTCCGCTTATCCATGGAAGCATTTAGAAGCTTTGAGACTCACACAAAACTTCCCATGCCCAACCAAAGCAGGAATCGTGCTCGTTCTAATTTTCCCCATTTAATAGAACGATTTGCAATGACAGAACATTGTGTCTGCAGTGTCCACTGTGGTCACCACGAGACACGTGCAGCTACTGGGCACTTGCAACGTGCCTTGTGTAACTTGGGAACTGAATTTTGAAAGCTTACCTCAATCTAATTCACTTTGGATTTTAATTTAAGTAGCCACCTGTGGCTAGCACTGGTCCCTTCAGATGAGCCTCTTCGTTGCTCTCCTACCCAAACAGGAAGCTTCTGGTAGATAACAAACACAGGACTTGAACTCTATGCAACAGAGACAGGAAAAGAGTGGTGAGATTAATGCAAAAATGAGTAAGACCTGTTTTAGAAAACTCATTCTCTGTACATCAGAAGAGACTCAAATGACCCAATCGACCATAAGATATAGGACTGGTGGCCGGCGCCGTGGCTCACTAGGCTAATCCTCCGACTAGCGGCGCCGGCACACCAGGTTCTAGTCCCAGTTGGGGCGCCGGATTCTGTCCCGGTTGCCCCTCTTCCAGGCCAGCTCTCTGCTGTGGCCAGGGAGTGCAGTGGAGGATGGCCCAGGTGCTTGGGCCCTGTACCCCATGGGAGACCAGGAAAAGCACCTGGCTCCTGGCTCCTGCCATTGGATCAGCGCGGTGTGCCGGCCGCAGCGTGCCGGCCACGGTGGCCATTGGAGGGTGAACCAACGGCAAAGGAAGACCTTTCTCTCTGTCTCTCTCTCTCACTGTCCACTCTGCCTGTCAAAAAAAAAAAAAAAAAAAAAAAAAAAAGACTGGTGCCCACAAGACCCTGCAGCAGGTGGGAGGGTAGACTCATGGAAGAAAGGGACTCGGAGGTAGTGGCATCTGCTTAGGTGGGGGCCCCCAGGTGCAGACTTTGAGCAAGGATTTGAGAGCAGAGAGTTTATTTTGAAAGTCCAGGAAGCTCCGGCAGGGAGGTGGGAAAGCAACACAGAGAGGTGAAGATGCCAACACGGGGTGGGTTATCAAACCAGCTTCATCAGGGCTGAGTGGAGTAAGAGCTGCTGTGACACACGCTTGTTTCCCAGGGATTCCATTCAAGGGATAAGGGGGCGGGGGTGTTTACACTCCACTCCCGTCAGCATTGCCCAGGGCTCCTGGGGGGCGTTCCCCAGCACCTCCAGCTCACCTGGCTCAGGCAGATTAGTCCTCCCCAGCCGTGGGGGAGCTCCTTGGACAGGGAGATGCAGACACTGGGTGTTGGAAGCCAGCTGGGCATACCCAGTGGAGACTGGCCAAGCATTTGCTACCTATTTGAATTGAACTTGTGAACATTTTTTTTTCATTTAGCAGAGGGTGGAAGTGCATGTGAATTTCAGGCAGATGGATCAGTTTGTTGGAAGCCAACAGTGGCTCAAAAGTCCACTGCAGCCCTGGGATGAGGGCATCCCTTACTGCAGCACCCTTACTGGCGGCTCAGCTTCCAATCCATGAATTTGCAGGACTGGCATGTAGCACTTACACAGGTATTACAGATATAGACCCTGGCGGAGAAATAGTAGAAAGAAAGGAAGTTGTATTAGGGCTGGTGTTGTGCTGCAATAGATGAAGCTGCCACTTTGGCCACATGCGTGCCATATCAGAGCGCCTGCTTGGAGTCCTGGCTACTGCACTTTCTATCCAACTTCCTGCTAATGCACCTGGGAAGGCGGCAGATGACGTCCCAGCTACTTGGATCCTGGCCACCCATGTAGGAGACCAGGATGGGGTTCCTGGCTTCTAGTTTTAATAAGTCTTTTAAAAAAGAAAGCAACGATATTAAGGATACATACAGCTATAAGAATAGGTATGGATATGAGTGTGTACGGACTTGGATATAAAAATACCTAAAATGTCTTTAAAAATCCTACTTCCTTGATTTTGCCTATGTCAAGGCTAACCTTTCCTGACGGAGCAAGAGCTAATTCGCTGGCCGCTGCCCGGCACCCATCAGAAGAAAGACTTCTTCTTGAGATCTAGACTTTACTGGGCTGAAGGAAGCCTCCACGTTTCCAGCGGGGACAAGAATCTTCCCGCTCCCGGGTGAGGTGTTGGTCAAATCTGTCCCAAGCCCTTCCTTTCTTGCCAATACCACCTGCCATTACAACTGTAGTGGGAGGAATGGACACCAGGGGGCGCTAGACAACACCAGAGTAGCAGCTAGCCCTGTGCTCGCTCAAGGGGGCACTGTGCCCACGTGCTGCGGGGAGGGGAGGGGCGGGTTTCTATCAGAGCGAAAAACTCAGGAATGCCTCAATATGATCTTACACAACTATGCTGCAAAATTCTAGGGCATGCCGTTGAATTGGGTAATGCTGTGACACAGAACAGAACATAGGAAACATGGGTTCACTTTGTCACTAATTCCTAGTTCCTTGTGCTGTGGGTTTTGGTGAAGCTGTTTATAGCTCAAGGCCTGCAAATTGTGCTACCCCTCCCTTAAAGCATCATTCCAATTTTATTCCAGAGGGCCACACCCAATGTGATGGGGATGTTGCAAACAGGCATCAACATAAAGGACTAAAAGAAAGAAAAGGGGACCTGCACCTGTGAGGCACACCCTCACTCAGCCTACTGCTGCTTGGGGGGTAGACATAGCCTAGACTTGTTAATGCATAAAGGGGACCTGTAAAAAAATATTTATCTGAAAGGCAGAGTAAGAGCGGGGTGGACAGAGAGATCTTCCATCCACTAGTTCACTTCCCAAATGGCTGCAGTAGCAAGGGCTGGATAAGGCTGGAGCCGGGAGCTAAGCACTCCATCTGGATCTCCCACGTGGGTGGCAGGGGCATAAGCACTTGGCCCATCCTCTGCTGCCTTCCCAGGCACATTAGCAGGACACTGGATCAGAAGCAGAGCACCAGACACCCAAACTGGTGCTCTGACAAGGGAGCCTGCATTGCAAGGGCAGCTTAGTCCACTGCACCACAACACCTGCCCCAGTACGGGGACATTTGAACCCACAGAGTCCCCCACTACTCCCAAAGATGGCCTGATCCATATCCTGCAATCTGCACTCAGAACAGTAAATTCCCTGCCTGGGGCTAGTGAGTGTGGACGGACAGACATGGTCTTCATCCTACCTTGTCAAGATGCTGGTCCTCCCTCGAGCCCCAGGTGGTCATGTTTACTGAGCACATATTTTCTCCTACCTTGTGCCCCTTCAGACCCGGGACTGCCACAGAAACTATATTTGTCTTGAGCGGCATTGAGAGAATGTGGCCCCTCTCCAAATTCTCAGATGTGAGTCATTTCATAAAACCAGGGCCCAACCACACACCTTTGTAGAAGCGCTCTAGAACACTGCAAGACATGAGAATGTGCCCCTTTGCCTTGCCAAAACTATCCCACTGCAAATTTTGCTGGACTAACAGGCACTGGCGGGGGAGGGGAATACCCAAACTTTTAAAATTATTACTGGATGCCAGTTGTAAGTAGTAGTAATTCCAAAAGACCAAGGCATCATCGTGGTCAGCCTCAGCGAAGGGACTCACGAGGGCCAGGAGGTAGAGTTTGGATGTGACCTTATATCATAGACTGAATGTGGCTCTGAACCCACCTCATGATTTTTGCATCAGCCCCAGTGCAGGGTTGGAATGAGTGTACTCAGCCAAGGGTGAGGCTGCCGCACTGGCTTATCGACAGTGGAAAACACTTACTGTAAGAGCAAGGCCCAAGTGGAAGCCACTGAAGGCCAAAGCAGAGGTTCACAAATGAGATGATTGACAGGTATTGGCATCTCATCACAGGTAAGAAAGAAGCAGGTGTTTTGACTCTGGTCACACCTCCTCCTAATTCTCCAGTGTGGCTGGTAAGAAATGAACAAAGCAGCATCAACAACTGATGGGCCCTGGTCTTGGGGAAGAGCAGTGGAACCCCAACAGAATCAACTGACGATTTCAACTGTGCGTGCTCTTCTGTGTCTGGTTCCCTACCTAAGGCCAAGCATTACCATCCCAGTATTTGGCATGTGGACTTGGATCTAGAAGAGCGATTGGCAGACTTATTCCTAAAGGGCTGGATAGTAAATATTTTAGACTTTCAAGCTAGGTGGTCTTTGTGACAATTATTCAATGCTGCAGATGTAGCAAGAAAGCAGCCAGTCAATAGTATGTCAAAGAACGGATGTGACTGTGCCCCAGTAAAAACACTTACAAAAATAGGTACCCGAGGGCCTGCAGTTTGTTGATCTCTGATCAGGAAAATAGATTTTTTTTGCTTTTGGTACAGAGAGGACCCCTGACATAGCAGTTTGTTTCCAGCTGTTGGCAGAGTATATTTTTGCTGTCTTGCCTTGGGCTATGCTACTTGTAGGTGATTTGCTTCATTCTAATCTGCAAAGACCTCAAGAGCTTACCAACCAATGAGATATCGTGTTGATCCACACTGTTGACCTAGAAAGCAGAAATACAAAAGCCTACATGTTCTGATACAACACAGGGCTGACAGGAAGTGGCAGGTGAACCAGGAGAAGAGATGAAGAATCCCACTTGGGGAAGATTGTGGGGGCCAGTGACTAGGACAATGTCAAGTGAAGGTCAAGTTCCATACTGTGCTGGTTATCTATGGATGCATAGCAAATTCCCTCCAGACTCACTGGATTCAAACAGTAGTACACATTTATTGTTTCCATCTCAGGAATGCAGACAGTCCACTCCATCACGTCCAGGGACTTCGACAGAAGACTCAAAGACTGAGGACTCATGAACTCATGTCTGGCAGCTGATGAGAGGCTCCCGCAGGCTCAGAGTCTACTGGGAACTGCTGGCCACAACGCCCCCATGAGGCCTGGGCTTCCTCCTAACATGGTATCTGATTGCAAGGACAAGTCGAGAGTGTCAGGTGGAAACTACATCCTCTTACGCTCGGGCCTCATTAGTGACATAGCATCACCTCCAGCCCACATTCTAGGAGAGAATAATTAGGCTATGGGAGGAGGTATAAAGAATGTGTACGGGGCCGGCGCCGCGGCTCAGGCTAATCCTCCACCTAGCGGCGCCAGCACCCCGGGTTCTAGTCCCGGTCGGGGCGCCAGATTCTGTCCCGGTTGCCCCTCTTCCAGGCCAGCTCTCTGCTGTGGCCAGGGAGTGCAGTGGAGGATGACCCAAGTGCTTGGGCCCTGCACCCCATGGGAGACCAGGAGAAGTACCTGGCTCCTGCCATCGGATCAGCGCGGTGTGCCCGCCGCGGCGGCCATTGGAGGGTGAACCAACGGCAAAGGAAGACCTTTCTCTCCCTCTCTCTCTCACTGTCCACTCTGCCTGTCAAAAAAGAAAAAAAAAAAGAATGTGTACGAAGATCTTTAAATAGTCATATACACCTAATGCCCCACCAATAACGGAATTTCAATATCTTTTGGATATTGGTCTTTGGATACTGGAATAGAACACAGTGTGTTTGTTTGTCTGACCCACCCACTTACTGGGAAACCCCTAGAGTTTCCACTTTGGGGCTCCAGAGAAAGAAGATTCTAAAAGCAACCAACAGTGTAATCTAGTGGCTCTGTCACTTATACTTTCTGATTTACCAAATGGAATACTGCTGGCAACGCCCAGACCACATCAGGGCACCAGGTAGGGGCCTCCAGCCAGCACTGAGTGGACCGTGGTAGAAGATTCTAGGATGGTGGCGTAAGGCCATACCCCTCTCAGCGTTAAAGAATTCCTGGCTTTTTGCTGGACTCCAGGGGAGATGGACTATGGGACGCCAGTTTTCCATGACACCCAAGTAGTATATTATGAGCTGTCTTCATCTGACCTACTTTTACCATAAAGTTGAGAGACCCAATAATACCACCTTACCGAGAGGAAGTGGTACATGAGTCTAATCCCTAGGGGTTCTGCAGCCACCAGGAGCAGGTTACTGATTTCTACACCATCCCTAAACCCAACAACCTACCACCCTCCTCCCTTGGCCGGGGCCTCTAACCTCACAAGAACTTTGCTATGATTATCTGACTCAGGGTGGGGACACCCAGGCCTGGCTCATGGGCAGAGGGCTCTGCACTTTGCTCCTTTTTTTAAAGATTTTTATTTATTTATTTGACAGGCAGAATTACAGACAGTGAGAGAGAGAGAGACAGAGAGAAAGGTCTTCCTTCCATTGCTTTACTCCCCAAATGGCTGCAACAGATGGTGCTGTGCCGATCTGAAGCCAGGAGCCAGGAGCCAGGTGCTTCTCCCTGGTCTCCCACGCAGGTGCAGGGGCCCAAGCACCCGGGCCATCCTCCACCACTTTCCCAGGCCACAGCAGAGAGCTGGACTGGAAGAGGAGCAACCAGGACTAGAACCAGTGCTCATATGGGATGCTGGTGCTGCAGGCAGAGGATTAACCTAGTGCGCCACGACACTGGCCCCTGCACTTTACTTCTACCAGCCTGAGGTATACTGTGTCAGTCACGGGTCCTCTCAGGTTTAGCCCAAAAGTTCAGTAGAGAAGATTCCCCCAAGTGGCTGAATTCCATGGGTTTATCATAATGTCCACTTGGCCAGAAAGAAAAGAACACCAAGGTTCAAGAATCTACACATATTTCTAGGAAATGCTTATGGTGTTGTCAGATGGCATGGGAGACAGAAGGGGTAAAAGTTGAAAGTAGTTGTCAAGAGGATTGGGAGTAGTACATCAATAGGCCCTTGGAATGAGCCCCCTGGCCTAAAAATGATGATATCATACATAAATGCTCACCAGAAGGTACCCTGTGTTGGAAGAGACTCTGAAAATACAGCGTGCTGGGTTGCCCTGCCCGTGACAGTCAGATGATTTGTCTCCGGCTCATGAACAACATCAACAGCGCTTCAGAGAGGGAGACCAAGCGTGCACCTCCTCTCATTGAAGCCGTGTTGGTTTCTGTTACGGCCATGTTCTAACTTCTCTACAACAGCAATCAACCCGAACCCCCAAAGGGGTTCCAGGCTTCCAGAAGACCAGTTAGCTTCCGGTTGCACCCAGGCTGTGTCAACTCATTTGCATTCAAAGAAGGGAAATGGATTTACCCTCGGCGGACTGAATACTCTGGGACTGAATGGTTTCCCTTGCTCATTACGCCTCTGCTAACACCAGTTATCCGCAAATCTCCTGAAGGCCTTACGTAGCCATGGTACCCTACCTACCGCCAAGACAGAAAACAATGGGCTGGTGCCCAGCGCAGCCTATTGGTCTCATCACACTCATCAGTCATTCAGAGTCAGCTGCACCTGTGGCAGCAAGGCCCACAGAAGAGTTTGAGGAACAAAGAGGAATTAGCCCAGTAGAATCCTGAAGAGTTGGAGGCACCAACTATGGTGGAAGCTGGAGTCGAGGCTTCAGGCTGCAAACAGGACAGTTAGTTACAAGGTGATAGAAGGGGGGAAAAGAACAAGGAGAAAAACAGAAATGAAAACTATGGCTGAGATTCAAATGTTAGCAGAAGGTTTGGAATATAAAGTTCAGTAGAAAAACTCAAAGGACTAGCACAGTAATAATAATCACTATTATTTTTCAAGGGACTTGTCTAAGAATACACAAACACATTTAAACCTCCTAACAACCTTCCAAAGTAGAAATTATTATGATTTTTATTTCTTTTTGCTGTTAGGGAAGCTTTCAAAGGCCTCCAGCTGCCATGGGGCAGCCAGGATTTGGAACATCATCTTTCTCCCAATCCCCTCCCTTAACTATCATGCAGTACCAACCCTTGGGGGAACATCCAGTGGGGAGGAAGAGGAAATACGAGGTGGGTCCACCTGGAGGTGGGGAAGATGGGTGGCACCCATCTTCTCACTATGGGAGTTCAAGAATAGGAGAAAAGTGTTGCAAAGCACAGTCTCACTAGGCAGCGGGAGAAATCAGGCAGAGTTCCCCGCACAGAAGGACACAGGTCTCTGAAATGAAGGGGACACCGAGGGCCCTGCACTGCAAACAGGCACGGCCCCTCCTCACAGCACGTGATCATGACCTTGTAGAGAGGCGGGACGAAGAAGTATGCTGTGAGCTTCCAAGGAGGGAACCCAAAAAAGAGGAGGAGCAGAGATGGACTTGAGGACATCAGATTCGCAATCACATTGGCTAATGAAAGACGGTAGGGCAGCAGGTGCACAGGTTTGGGAAAATTTTGTGTCCAACCCAGAAATCTGCACAGGACCAGTGGATTGCATCGGCCCTGAGGGTAGAACACAGATATTTTTTAAGTGTGTAAGGACTTTAAGATGTGCCTCCAATTGACGCTTTTTCAGTAGGAGACAAATGGGGGAGGGGGACTAAACAGAGGTAGGGGGTAGTCTCAGGATCTTGGAAACAGGTACAGCACGAGAGAGCAGCCCAGGGGCCAGTAGGACATCCAAAGCCAGGCCAGGCTGACTCAAGAGCGCATGCGGCATGTGTGGGTTCTGAGCATCCTGAAAAATGATTGTGGGTTCCATGACAGATCTAGTGGAAAACTGGTTTTAGGTATCAAAAAAATAACAAAAAAAAAAAAAAAAACTAAGCAAATCGAAAAAAATTTAAAAGAAACTACTATCAATTCTAGGAACACAAAAATGTTAGCTCAGTGGTGAAAAATACCTATGCAATTATAACAGTGTGAACCTTAATTAGTGGTTTAACCAACAGCTGTTAAGTAACCATAGTGAGAGGATATAGGGAGGGGAAGGAAGTGTGATGAATCAAATCTTCATCTACAAGAACAGGGACTCAATAACTAGTGTCTAAAATCGGTTTATCACCAGGTAGCAGTATCAACATATTATTTAACAACATGGGCAAAACACTAGGAGAAGGAACCAATAAAAACCAACATGGTCATCCAGAGGAGGCAGGAGATGCTATTGCTGAATTATTAAATGTACATTCTTAAAATTTTTATTAAAAAGCGACTTTTAAAACTTTGATGTTATAATGAAATAAGAGCAAAAAGGAATTAAGAGTATGATCAAACTATAAACAGATTCCTTTACTACATTATACAAGGCCCTGACAATTGAAAAAGATGAACAAAAATGTGGCCCCGCACTTCTTTAGCAACCAAAACAAAGAGCCAACACTGCCACCACAGTGCCTAACACATTCTTAGATGATTAGAACACTGTTAGATCAGAAGCTATAACCAACTACACGTTTGGAGTAAACACAGAATGACACACCACAGATAAGACCCAAACCAATCTTC